AAATTATGACAATTTTTTTTTTTTAATTTCCAAGTTGTTAAAAAGCATGTAGACGAGTGAAAAAAGGGTAATGGTAAAAAAAAAAAGATAAACGGGTTAAAAATGATAAATGAGTAAACAGGTATTAAACGGTTACGGTTAAATGAGTATGCGGTTATGGGTATAGTTAACCGTTTAAAAACGGTTATAGGTATGAGTATAACCGTTTAGGCAATTACCCAATGGGTAAACGATTATGCGGGTATGAGCATAAACGGTTATGGGTAAATTAACCGCGGTTACACGTCTGTCGTAACCATGAAGAAGAAACTTTTTAGGGTAAATTAGGTCAGCCTGCATTTGTTTGACCAAACACACACACTCTCTCTCTCTCTCTCTCTCTCTCTCTCTCTCTCTCTCTCTCTCTCTCTCATGCGTGTTCTGAAACGGGATGGTGATGACGATGTAGTTTGCTGTGCAAAGTCTGACGCAGCTCTCTATTCTTTTTCAAATTTCAAAAAAAAAAAAGGGTGCAAGAGAAGGAAGGGAAGGCAAATTCTGGTAACTTTATCGGATACTGAATACTATAAATATTGCCCATAGCTCCTTGAGCCGTTAAAGTAAAACGACATGACGGCTTTTCTCAGCCTTTTGTTCCTCAACTTTGCTAACCGGCTGACGTTAGCCCACCGCTGACTGCTTTTTCTTTCTTTCTTTCTTTCCCAACTTTTGCTGCCCTCTAGCTTCCTGTTTGTCGCTTTTACTTTCGACAACCATGCATGCTTTCTTTTCCATTTCCATTCCTTGCTCTCGTACATCGTAATTATTATTATTTTTTTTACTACTAATACGTTACTTAAGTTTATATTATATGTGATTAATAACTAAGTTTGGGTACTTGCAAACACGTTTTTATTTAATTAAATATCACTTGTGGTCACTGGTCATGGACATCAGTTAGGTTTAGGGGCTTCAAGTATCAAGGCCGTGTTCCTGTTCCTTTTGGAAATTGAGTTCTATATCATCTATGTCTGTTTGTTTTTTATCTTGTAACGTTGTATGATAGTTTAAATGGCATATTTTCTAAACCACTCTTCAAAAAAATTAAGTCCAAATTATTTTATCATCTTACGATTATCACATAATAAATAGAATATTTTTTTTTTCATTTAAAAACAATGTTAGTAGAGTTGTCGAGAAACGATTTTTATATGGTTATTTTTAGATTGTAATTTTAAAATAAACAGTTCTTATTAATCAGTACGGAGTGATCTAATAGTTAGAACTAATTTCAGGTTCGTATTTCATATGGAACTTTATGGGTTAGCACTGGTAAATCACAAAATGGTGGTCAAGAGTAAGTTGGAATGTCTTTGTGAGTCTTTCTAGCCTAAAAAATATATATTGCCTGAAACCACCAACTAATTCCTTTTATTTTAAAGAAGAAAAAAAAACGTTAAAGTCAAAAGGTAAGCGAAATTTTCAAATAAGAAGCTTGCAAGATTTCCCTTTAATATTTGCAATTGGAATTAAACTGAAGTGTGGGGAGAGTGTGTATCGGTATTGGGATCTGTCGGTGCTCTTGTCTCACCTTGTGGTTCCAACTCCAACAGTAGTAGGGCAAGTACTCGAACTCAACAGGTGACACACATGGCAATGTCTGTCTTCATCTCTTCTGTCTTGGTTCCTGATTGGCTTCCTCAATTACTTATTCCTCACCTTATTTGGGTGGACCTTGCGCACTAAAGTTCGATGGTCCCAAATCACGAGTTACCAAAATAATTAAGAAAAAAAAAATGAGAGAAAGTAAATAAATTAATCTTTGTTTGGTGTCTTAACAATTTTCAGACAAACATATATACATATACATTAGAGCCTTGTTGAAGATGATTTAGTTAATTAATCAACAAAAGGGTTAGTTTACACTAACCGTCTGGTGGTTTTTCAAGATTTGGCACCAGCATTAACAAATTGTTTGTCGTTTGTTTGTGTCGTTTCTCTTGACCATATGCTGCCTGTGGGGAATGGGGGGAGGGCGGAGGGACAAAGTTGGGAACCATGTTATCTCTATATTAGTGTATTATAAAGCCGGACCCTTGGGGTCACAAGGCTTAAAACAAAAGGAACAAAAAATGCCTTCTGTAGATTTCAGTATATGCCATAGTTATATTGTGCTCCCGGGGGAGGGGAAGGGGAAGACAGTTACTATCCATGTTGAATATTAATTCTCTTAATGTAACTCCACCCTCCAATCGCAAAAAAAGTAAAATGTGACTAATGTCATGCCAACGTTAGCCTGGCTTCAAATTGACAGAGCAGCTAGGGCAAGAATTGTGTGGGGGTAAGTCGGGCAGGATATATAGGTCCCACTAATTGCCATTGCCATGACAATTTGGTACCGCCGGAGGTATTTTTTTGGAGTTTATGGGCAACTCTTGCTCCCTGCTATGGTAATTTTGGTAACTGGTAAGGGTGGAGTTGCAGTAATTAATGTCATGGTTCTTATATATATCGATCTCATCTATAAAACAAGTTCTCTGCTTAATAATGCTGCTATAGTCATATCTTAAACCAATTATATATTGTCCTGAAGAAACTTAAAACACGAAACGATACGTGATTTTGAAATGACTGGAGGTTTCGGTCAAACATGAAGCTATCATATGATATGTGCTGTGGTGCTGGCCATGTTAATGTATACAGTAAAAGAATGAGACAGTCGTAGACAATGGTCTGCTCCACTGCTCGCTTTTTTTTTTTTTTTTCACTTTATATTTCATGTCTTTAAGCCATGAGAGAGAGAGAGAGAGAGAGCAGAGTGGACGTCGAAACAGCAAACATGCATGACGCATGCATATGGTCTCCGTTTTGTTTTGTAAAAAGGCCGCGGTCACGTCATATAAACGTGATCTTTTCATCACCACCGTCCTTGATTATTTGTATTACTTCACATGTTATTAATTGTATATTCCATTTGTAGGGTTCAGTGTTTTTGTTTCCCACGTGTAAACATAACACATCCCTCTTTTTCTCTCAGCCTTAATCAGTTTTAAGTACTTTTATCTCTTCGAGTTGTTCGTTAATGGGAGCCTTCCATTGTAGGTTTAGTGTTTTTGTTTCCCACGTGTAAACATAACACATCCCTCTTTTTCTCTCAGTTTTAAGTACTTTCATCGCTTCGAGTTGTTCGTTAATGGGAGCCTTCCATCGTAAGCTGAATAAAAAGTAAGTGTGATACTACTATATTGAAGTCGTATCGAAATCATACTCTACTCTTATAGTTTAGTTGGAAAAATGTAATGTAATACCATTATAGTCTATATATTAAACGTATGAGTGTGATATATTAAATTCATGAGTTTGATATCAATATATTAAACTCACACTAATGTAGTAGTGGTGTTATAAGTATTAAACTCAAGTTGTCTAATTCTTATATATGGTATCACACTAAATCAAATTACCATGGTGAGAGCATATAATTTTGGTTTTTGCTAGGTGAAGTCTCTACCCTAATAATTCAGGTGCTTGAGGTATGCTAAAAATGACCGCAACAAGAAATTATAGTACCCCTCCCACTTCGGGATGGGCAACGATTATGGCGGGTGGGTAATCGCGGTTATTTACCCGTAACCATTTATGTGTATACCTGCATAACCGTTTACCCGTTGGGTAATTGCACAAACGGTTATACGCATACCCATAACTGTTTATAAACAGTTAACCATACCCATAATCGTGTACTCATTTAACCATAACCGTTTACCTATTTAACCATAACCATTTACCCGTTTACCCATTTTTGAACCCGTTTATCATTTTTTTTACCCATTTACCCATTTTTCACCCGTCTACATGTTTTGTTTTTAACAACTTGAAAATTACAAAAGAAAAATTTGTCATAATTTTTGTTTTCTGACAATTAAACACCGTAATAGGTACATTTAGCATGCATTTCCCTATTTTAATCATTTAAGTACTTATACAATTTCAATAATTGAAATAATAGTTTACGAACGATATTTTTCTGCTACACCCAAGCAAGTCTTTAATTATAATCCATATGATTACAAAGTAAAGCTTCTAAAAACAAAAAGTAGTCATTATAATCCATATGGATACTCGTTATAACCACAGGTAGTTCATTTGATCATCCTCTTTTCAATGCGTTTTAAACTTCCTCTAAGTTTGAAAGGCCAATTCTTTTATACAGATATACAGAGTGTTTTATTCGAACAATTTTCTGTTTCCTTCCTTTCATGCAATGCAAAACCAAAAAAGTCCAATTTAATTTCCGTTGCAGGTTCAAGAGAATATTATTGATGCAAGGTTACCCTCGAAACAAACTTTTTTTTTTAGTAGAAATAGAGTACCTGGTGAATCAGGACCGATGTATATCCGTTATAACTGCGGTTAATACCCATAACCGATGGATACTCGTTATAACCGCAAGTAATACCCATAACCGCCTATTTAATTTCACGGATAAACGGTTATACCCATAACCATAATTGTGAACTTCAAATGGGCGGGTAACCGCGGTTACCCAAACCCATGGGTATTTTGCCCATCCCTACTCCCACTCCCAAGTTCTCTCTCTCCCTCTATCCTTCCCATTTTGAAAAAAAATAAAAAATGTTCACACATACAAAGTGTGTAGTCATATGTTAGATATTATTAGAAGACAAGTGTTTAACTCCAAGGTATTTTTAGCTAAAATAGTCACTGAGATTGTTATAATTCTTCACTTTGGTTATTGAGATTTAAAATTAATAGAAGTGGTTATTGACATTGTTCTCCGTCACTCATTTTGGTCTTTATGTGAAAAATCACCGTTAAATTAAAGAAAACCACCAGTTCCAATTATTGGTTAATATGACAAAAATACCCTCAATTTAACAAAGATTTCTTACAAAATGATTAACGGTGCAAAAGCCCAAGTCCAACCCAATGAGCCTGTTATGGACCCACAATTTCAACCAGACTCCATTTGTACAGAAAATTGAACAATAACAACGATATTAACACTTAATTGAATACAATTACATAACCAAACAGATTATCAATGGGATCAAATGTTACAGGGAACTACAGACAGTTGTACAAGGAAAATCTATCTTATGTCCAATCGGGTGTGTCTGAATTTTACCCTATAAAAAACACCAAAACATTCCACAACCGGCGGCAATAGCTGATACGCACAAGTTAACATTCCTAATGCTATTTTGCTCCATTCAAACAGTGAATGAAAGTTTTAAATTTTAAGTAACCCCACGATTTGAGCAGCTGAAAATTTTAAAATTACAATAATTTACTTTATGCAGATTTAATTAGGCAGTTAAATAGAGGCACAAAAGCAAGAAAGTTCCTTCTGCAGGGAGAAACTACAGCACAACCTTCTCCCCTCTTGAAACTGAGATTTTTATTGCCTCGAAATCGGCGTCATTTGCACCGGTGATTGCTGGTTGTAGAGTTTACCATCTGAACCTTGAAAACTCTGATAAGAATTGGCCGGTGTCATGAAGGGAGAAACGCCATTTACTGGAGCTCCTGCTTGATAACTAGGCATTGGGGGTGGCTGTTGTTGGGCCACGTTGTAGGTGTATTGTCCAGGAGACGGCACATATTGGGGCACTTGGTACTGTGGTTGGGGTGGTAATGGTGGAAGTGGTGGAGGAGAAGATGATGGGGGAGGTGGTGCCTCACTGGGAGTGGGAGTGTATTGTTGGTTGGTGGTAGGGACATTGTGCGGGTGAGATTCAGAATGCGAGAACGGAGGAGAGGCAGACGGGTTAGGGCTCCGGGGTAAATAGGACGACGATTGGTCATGCTCCAGCTTAAGCCTCTTTTCGGATGGATAATCACCAGAAGACTCGTTAATGGGATTGCTGATGACACCCTCGGATGCCAGAGAGGAGAGGACATAAGAGAGCACCTGGGCCGAGGATGTTGATGCGGTCAGCTTTGCTGCCACTGCAGCAGCTGCAGACTTGCGCGAATCTTCCTCCCCGTGACTGGATTTTTCAGCAAAAGCAACCTGCTGTGTGTACATTACTGGAGCTGATTGTTCTCTTCCTACCATAAAGCTGGAAGGTGCTACAGAGGTATGAGCTTCCTTTGAGCTCTGGACTGCAATCTGTTGTGCATTGTCGCCATTCATTAACCGATGGCAGATATTAGTGGCCAGCTCTGACTGGGACTCTGCATCCTGGAAAACAATATATGCATAATGTACGTTTAGAATAGATTTTGTACAATTTTGTACAACTAGATTTTGTTATAAATGGCAACACAACCAACAACCATTATGTGATATATGTACATATACAATTAGCATATCTGTATAAGTGTTTCTTTACTACTTAATTCACAAAACCATAGATCAGTTATTTCTATATACGGATAAAAGTTAGCATCATTATTCAATTCAACATGAGTTTGGGTTGCATAAAGTTGATCCAAAACCACGGATTGATAATGGACACTATATGCACGGAATTGCAATTTACTTGAAACTCACAAGGGTGGGAACCCAACCCAACCCCATGGAGTACCACGTTGCATTAACATATGAGTCCTTAAAGAAAGGGAAGCAACTCATCCTCCTCCAAGAAGCAGAAGATTTATAATACTTTTAGAGGAGCCTTTTCTTAATATTTTTATATATGTAATTAAAGTTTGGGCATTCAGTTTAGTTTGATCGTGATGAATTAACCAACATTCATACAGTAATGTTACACTTCCACAACAAAAGTAGATCATATGATAGATATACACAGCGTACCTGAAGTTGGTTTCGGACTTGATCTAGCTTGTACTCCTAATAAGAAAACCATGTTAGTTCGCGTAAAATCGTAGTCTTGTAAAACCGTGAATGAAAATTCTGATATTTTGCTCCTAGGATTGTCTACCAACCAACCTGCTCCTGAAGAGCCTCTCTTAGATGAGACACAAGATTAGCTCTTGATGATTCAACAGCTCTTAGTTGTTCAATACAATTCCTTAGTATAGCATTCTGACCCTGAACCTCCTCCAAAAATGCAGACCCATGAAATTGCCCTAGTCAAGAAACATAATTTAGGGAAAAGTAAGTCACGAACATTACACATGTTAAAAGTTAGAGAAAATTCTCAAGAATTTACACATGTTCGGGATACCTGAGTTGAAATCGGCACCAATTTCCTTATCAACCCTCTCTAGACAGCTAATAGCACTCCTGCATTTGCTCAATATAGTGTCCTCATCCATCTGGCCATGACTAGCTTGGTAATCTGAAACTATTTTGTCCAACGCAGTTCCAGCAGGATGCTGCTTTTTTTTTTTTCAACGAAGAAAATAAAAGGAAACAAAATTAAGCCATCAAATTGCAAACTGAAACAAATGCTCACGCAATACAGGCATATCATATGATTTGCATTACCAATCTGGCACCCGAATGCTTCCCATTTCTGTTACTAATTTCCGGGTTCTGTCCAACAAACTCTTGCTTGAGAATCTGGCCGTGTGAACCAAAAACTTTTCTATCATCCCATATATTAACCTACAAAGTAAAAATATTGAACCACAACAATCAGACACCAAAAAAAATAAAAAAATAAAAAAAACCATACATGCACATGCATACATATAAAGAGTTGAGTCCTTCTATCCATCTTATAAACTAAAAAATTTTGGTTTTGCTCGAGGTTTCCTTTGGATTATTCTGTTCTCAATAGAAACCATCTCCATGACAACCAATTCCAATTTTTTTTTCTTTTAAAAAAAGATATAGAAACAGGTTATGCAGTTGTACCAATCGTTGTGCTGCATTTCTTCCAAATTCATCTCCACTTTTAATTACATCACGAAGAGCATCTGGAAGAACCTTCCAAAATTCACCAACAAATTCTGAACCTTTTCGCCTACTGTTCTGTAAAATATCATTTGCAAGATACAAGAAAGCCAATCTCTGGTCGCGTGGAGCACAATGAAATTGCCTAGCCCATGTTTCAACAACTTGTCTTGCTTTATTCATATGGAAAATGCACCAATGTGATAAAGCTAAATTGCATTAAGGATAACAGCCAAGTACTCTGACAACAAAGATAACAAACATTGACAACATGTGCAAAAATAAGCAGATATGCCAAAGCTCAGATGCACAACAAGTATTACTAGTTGTATTTGTAATTCAACACTTATGAGAAAAGTATAATATTGACTAGACAATAAACGAAACAGTGTTCATTGAATAGCAGGTGCAGGGATTCAAATTTGGCTGGGAAAATGCATTGGATATGTGGGTTTTGACAATGGATTTCAAAATCCAATTAAGTTTTCCAAAGATATGAGTTATGAGAAAAGAGGGTGGCCAAATTGTCCCACCAAAAAAATCTGGCTCGGTATGTAAGTTAGAACAGCCAGAAAAATGGTCTACTGTTCCTTTATGAAAAAACTAAAAAGAACATTGATTTCAAGGCGATGTCAGCAAAAGGATACTCTCTATGCTTGCTTGCGAACTATTGAGCTTGGCTAGCTTTTCCACTAAAATCTGTGGATTGAACGCACTTCCCATGATTCCAGCAAGAGTTGGTCCAACTAGTAACGCAAAATGGAGCCTTTAAAACTGAGAAAACCTTCAAGCAAAACAAATAAACATTGAGATATATAGTAACAGATTCCACCTAGTAAGATACCGAGAGGCACGATTTATTGACCAAAGCAAAATTTCATGTAATCATAAGCAAGCATAACTTACAACGTTACTATACAAAATGTTAAGGGTTTAGGGTCTAGAGAATACGATGATTTTTTAAAAAGCCTGCAGATTGGGAAACCTTGCAATTGCAAGTTGCAACTACAAAAGCAACAATCATGATCAAACTGTAACCATGCACCATATATCAACTATTTATCCCTCTAGCATCACATTTGGAAATAGCATATAATATCATTTTGTGTTTACAAATTCCAGTACCCAAACCAGAATGGAAAGAATAATGAGCCTATGGAAACTAGGAAAAATTGATATAAATGCTTTTAAATCTAGTAGGGATAATAAACAAAAGATAGAAATTGAATTGACTCTGAATTTGGAGTTGGCTGTAAAGCCTCTATAAAGCCCAGAAATATAATACCAATGTCCAGTGTGAGAAGACAATAAATACCATACTTGTGTGCTAACTGGCAACAAGCAAGTGCGTAATGATTCCGGAAGAGAGAATACAGTCAAAACTCAATTCAGATGGCTACCTCTTAAAAAGAAAGATAATCCACTATCCCAATCTAGAATTTGTAGGAGGTAATGATGGTCTCTTTGCCTATACACTTAAAACCGTTTGTGAAACCGATGAAAATGTGGGGGATAGATGATTTGATTAAACTTTCCGATGACACAAGTAGGCCATTGGTTATCCCTTGGGCCTGCTCATGGGCTACATAATCCGATCGTGTTTTTATCTTTGGGGTATAGATTTAGAAGCAGATGTGCACAAATAAGAATAGCTCTAGAGATTTCTAGATGCGACCGCTTTTGTACAAATGTGATCCTAGATTCCCGAAATTGGTTTTGATGTTTTGTTTGCCTATTACGTACTTGTATTTCCTTTGACGATGATATATGGCCAGGTGCCTAACATGTACTGATTATGTAATGAAAGAACGACAAGTTTCCTTCATCGACTGATAAGTAAACTCTTCGTTGTCAATACCATAAAGGTGTTACCAAATAGACCGCACGCTACTCTACAGTTTGGTAATAACCAAAACGGTAGTAACAAACAAAGAACTCATTGCACTGAATCTAATTCTCGACACCAATCCACACAATCTGCAGTATCTTTCCTAATTTCGCCACACGTGATACTCACGGTATCTACAAACCACCAAACATCAAATGTGTTTGTTTATAAAGTTTCCATCTTCAAAATCATTCAAATACTCAACATTATACGCTCAATGAGTCAATGACTAACCAAATTAAAATTAAACAATTAATTGAAACTACTAAACAGAGCATACTAATTCAAAGCAAAGATTAACAAAAGCAGCATTCAGCCAAAACCCAGAATTTATTTTCTAATATTTTCCATAATTTAAATGTTATCCCTGACTTTCCTATCCAATTAAATCAGTTAATTCAAAATCTTACTCCAAAATTCAGCAACGAAAAAAAAAAGATTATTCAAATATTGTATGAGAGTAAAACTAGACAGCCCCAAAGTAGAATTAAGAAATAGAAAACAAAATTAACAAAAATAAACTAAAAACTGAAGCCCTAGAGCTTGGAGTAGGCACCTTTTGAATTGATAGGAAATGCAGTGGCCTGAGAAAAATATTCAGCGGCGGGTACAAGTAGCAATCACAAGTTCGTCCATGGAGGATTGGGGGGTAAGCTTACCCAGCTGAATTCGGACTCGGAAAAATCCGAAAGACGGAATCTTTTTTGAGTTCAACGGCTTCTTCTTCTCCTTCTTCTCCGTCGGGTTTTCTTACCACCTCCGGGGATTTTTAAAGTTCCGAAACCACCCTTCCCTTCTTGTTGAGTTGTGTTTTAGGGGTTTTAGCCGGGATGCCAAGTGTACAAAAGATGTCCACCCACGACGTCGTACTAAAGAAAATTTTCATTATGACATGAACACAAATTAAGTTTTTTTATGTAAATGATGAAAATTTTTATTTTTTAAGTTATTAACTTTTTAATATATATATTTTACCATTTGTATAATGATACGTGGTGTACCATCCTGAGTGTCGATCATATCGAAAAATTTCTCGTCGTACTAACTCATACATATGAATTTTTTTTCCTTGTGATCAGAACACGGATGGTACATCTCATGTTTTTATACAAGTGGTGGGAAATTGTATTTTTTAAGTTATTAACTTTTTAACACACATATCCTACCATTTATATAATAACACGTGATGTACCATCTTATGTTCCCGTCACACTGAACAATCTCTCCATACATCATTCTCAATTTCTCACGTGTGCGACAGTCTAAGGTTGTTTATTACTTTCCATATAATTTCTTGACCAGGTTGTTTTATCTCCATCGAACATATTGTTAAATTCACGGTACATATTAAATACACCCTACATATTTTCTCGTACCCTAACTCCTCATACCTTACGCAGCACTCTTCACGTACACACACCTCATATCAACCTGGCGCATCCTATGTTCTCCTCAATGCAGCAATTCCGTCATCTCTTTAGGTCTCGTATTCGTTCTTCCCTTCATTATTGTTGCTCATGTTGAACAAGAATTTCAAGAAAACCCTTGGACATTTATAGTTGATAAATCATCAACCAAGTCTCTAGGCACGCACCAGAGCACGAGCCTGGAAATTAGTATTATTTTCTTTTATTATAAATGATATTTTTGCTCTAATTACAGCAAAAGATGATAAATGAACCATCAATCAACAACTCAAAGCATATCAGCAATCTCACTGACTGTATGCATAAATTTTTGCAGCAGTACACAAACAAATAATAAAAAGATTACAACAAGTGACAATGATTTCGAAATACAAGAGCTTTAGTTTGAAAAAACAATTTCGCGCCGATGTTGTTTGAACTCTAGACGTTCATCAGTTCTTGAAAGACATTCATGGCAGAAGCTGGAAGCCCCAAAAGCACGTTTATGATCTTCTTTTCCGTCCCATTAGAAAGGAACAAGATCACTTCCTTCTCCGGCAATGCCACCGGACCCGATAGCACGGGCTCTCCCCAACCAAAATCAGTGGTGTAGAACGACAGCTTAGACCAAGTCGTGATCAAGAGTGTGGAGGCCAACGAAGGTCTAGCTCGCGTCAGCTCGAAATAATCTATGGCAGATCTCATGTAACTGTCAGTGACCATCTTGATTGCATCTTGAACGAGTCCGACTGCATTTGACAGCGGTTTGTCCAGCAAGTCACCTGCCTGGCAGATGGAATTTGTCAGCACAATGCCGTTGCCAAAGTACCCTTTTGGCAGCGGCGGCCTGAATTTAGGCCTCCCGTCAACAGCAAACAGGAGCTTTATTTGCTGCTCAGGCAGCAGATTTAGCGCTCTGGTCCGAGCTTTCCACACGAATGCAGAGAGGGCTTCGAAAGTAGTGCAATTTTCAAGCGCCCCCTCTTCCCTGGCCTTCATTTTGAGTTTTTCAAGCTTCTCACTGTCGAAACTGAAGGATCTGTACAGCATTTTTTCCTCACAAAGGTCATTGTTGGTGCTAGAAGTGCCGGTAATCTCTGAGAATTCATGATGCGGGTACTCTATCCTAGGTGGGTTTCGCGCCTTGAGTATGCTTCTGTCTAAAAATGGAGGAGCTGTCAATGGCAAACCTCTGGCAATTTTACCCCACGAGTTCACGAATTCCATTGCACCGATGCCATCAAACATACAATGATTCATGCACAGGCCAAGAGAAAATCCTCCACATTTGAATTTAGTCACCTAATAAAATCATCATTTATTTATGAATGCAAATTCAAGATACAATAAGTGAAATGTAATGAAGAGATTCAAGTACAAACCTGAACCACCAGAGGAGGCATCTCCAGTATGTTTTTTGCACCCGGAACATCATAAACCAGCTTCCCAAGAGTCTCGGGGTCCGGCTTTGTTGTGTCACCAATCTCTTCTATCGCGCAATCTGTTTCAGCCTCGACGAAAACAGCTCCTTCCCCCGTGCAATCCACAATGAGCTTTCCCTCCGCGCTAATTGCTAACCGCCCAGCAAGAGGGTAGTAGTGGACAAGAACCTTCTTCAAAGCATCCTTGATCACTTCCCCTGCCTCGTCATTTCCCTTATCAACCGACTTGAAGCAGTAAATAGTACGAACAGTCACCGCAATGTTTTGGTCGAGGTTCGAGAGGAAGTACAAACCCTTCTCCGTTTCAACTGCAGGGGAAACCAGAGTTGGCTTTCCTTGCTTCACTCTCAGCTCGAACGCGTCACCATTAGTGGTGTTGTCCATCGCGACAGGCTTTCCGAATTCAGCAACCTGAAAACACAGTATAAAAAAATGCAGAGAAAAAGAAGAAGCAACTTTGCAAAGAATTTAGGGCTCGTTTGGTGCTGCTTCTTTAGGAAGCATTTCTGCTCATAAACGTTTGCTAGAAGTACTTCTATTAGAAACACTTGGAAATTTTTAGAGGAAACACTCTGTCAGAAGCACTTAGCCCTCGAAGCAGTTCCAAACAAACCTTTAATATGAGTTATGAGAGAACAAACCATGTGAGCAAGCTGACGAATGGAAAGGAGAGTTCTGTAAAAAGCTGAAAGGAATGCTCAAAAACTCGAATGAAGAAACCGAAAATTGATGAGGGCGGAAAAGGGAATGGCTCTGGAGGTTTCAGAAGGACTGGAGGAGCAGGATAAATATAGAAAGGTGGAATGGACCAACTTATCTTGTATTACTTGTTTAAGAAAGAGAAGATAATGGTGGAAAGGGACAGGTAGTTGTGCCCGAAACCTGAGTGATAATCCAAATGTTTCGGGCAACGATACGACACGACACTGCAGATGCTGCGTTTTTCATCTGGAAAATATGAATGTAGGGCAGGCAGATGGGTGAGGGTAGGCCACTGATACCGAAACCTAACACGCCAGATAAGAGATTGATGTCATAAAGAAGGGGTAGGGGATTATTTGGTGGGGTTGGTATCCAAATTCCATAACCCCCTTTTGGTTGGTTTATTCTCGTACTACAAGTTTTTAATTTTTTGGTCAATGGTCTCTTGTTACAAGTTATCACATAACAATGCCCCATCTTTGCTTCTCAGATCTCATTTTTGTAATTTTCTTTCCCGCCGGACTCGTAATTCCGGTGATCATCGTGGTCGAAATGGCGAAAGTACAAATAAAACACGCTCAAATCTTTGTCTGAAAGTGTATTAGGTTGCTTTTTAACAAACAGAGTGACATGCTCTACCTTTCGAACTTAGAAGACCAAGTCCAAGAGCAGGAAAGGAGCAACTAGAAAGGATTCCGGGAAAGATGAATGATTAACCAACTGCGAGTTTTCTAATGGGTTTAGTTACGTCTTTAATATAAATTAGAAGAACCAATTTTCAGATGCGAAGTATCAAGCATGTCGTGGAAGTAGAATATAAAACGATAGTTTTCTAGTTTGGATACTTTGTATTATCACGCAAGGAGAGAGAGAGAGAGAGAGAGAGAGAGAGAGAGAGAGAGAGAGAGAGAGAGAGAGAGAGAGAGAGAAGGGTGTATAAAACTTGTCGCTGACAAACAAATTGTATTGGAAACAGAGTTAGAAATACAAAAGAATCTCTACAATTTTACGGTATACATTTCCAGCCATACTGATACAACATCACACAAACTCTTTGCACTCGGCTCATAGGTAGCTTGCACAAAACTTATCAAAAGTCAACAAATTCCTATAGGTTACTCAGGATAGCAATCGATATTTCAATGTCAAGGCCTCGCATGGTTTTGCTTGTTGCTTTTCCATTCCAACAACTGATACTGAACACAGCTAAGCGGGTGGCAAACTGACCTCGAAAAAGTCATGCCTGACCACACTTGCTTAGACAAGCAACTCCTTCTTCTAGATAATCCTCCCTCGTGATCCAAAATTCAGGAGCATCCTGCATGTGTTAACCCCACCACATTGAAATTTTCTTAGATGGCTTGCAGTTACCCATCTCCAATGTGGGATATCAATGACATCATATGGAAACTCGATCTAAAAGGTAGCGAGGACAAACAATGTAATGTACCTTCATAATTCCCGCAAGGACTGCACCACCTAGATACACCATGTGCTTTCTTCGTGGAGGATCTTCAATTCGCAATCGCAATTTCTGTTCACCACAAATTTTAGAGCGTGAGAAATAGAACGACTGAGCTCAGTCTATTATGCCAGATTCAACTTGATGATATTCTTTCAAATCACTAATTTTTTTATATCAATTGGGATATCCCGACCTATACATGGTCAGTTTAGTACCACTTCAATACCAACATAATACACACGGTATGTTTCATATTTTTTAAAAGCTCAGTTTGTTCCCTTTCTTATCCATGAAACACAAAACTCTTATCTTACCTTGAGTCCATCTTTGTTACCCTTCAAAACAACGTCAAGATAACGGTCCAGTATTTCCTTCTCCAAACTGAAGAAACACCACATTTAATATCAGAATTTCATCAATTTCAAACCAATCTTTAATAAGAAAACAAGATGCCCATAGGACGAAAAAGAATTCAACTTTTAATGTAAAAAAAATACTGTTTTTTTTTTTTTTTTTTTTTGAGTACATCCATATTTTTACACTAAGGGGAGGGGGAGTTCTGGCTAAGCCACACAATGTCAACCTAATTTTAATTTCTTTTTAATAACAGAAAATTGACATGCCATGTCAGATATAACGCGAAAAAACTACTTCAAACAAGAAACTTATAATCCAAGTGATGCAGAGAAGGGTAAGATATTACCGACTGGGTAATCCAGGATACATCGTGCTCCCTCCACTTAAAACAATATGCTGGTAGAGCTGCAACAAATGCAATAAAGTCATACAATCAATGACAGGAAGTCAAATGGATAAAGAACTAATCAATGCTAATTTGCAATCGGATTCATATAGGTACTACCATCATCCTGTTGTCAATATCCATTTCCTGAATACAGCGGAATACCATGTCAGCCATTCCATCACCTTCAACATCTATAAGTTCCTGTACAAGGAAAAATTTAATGATTATTCAAAGACTTCAACCGGTTACAAACTTTTTCTCCAAACCCAGAATTGTAGGTGCTAATGTCACTTTGAAGAGGTACAATTTGAGCAATTTAGATTGAAAACATTTGAGCAATTTTGTTGACTAGAGAAAAGTTTTAATAACCAACGTCAAGGAAAGAGCAAAGAAAACTGGAAAGTTACAGGAGTGAAAAGAGCCTCAGGAGCCTGGAACCTTTCGGTGCCAACTTTAATCACCCTTCCATCTGGCAGCTGAATAAACCATCACATATCAGAGTATTAGCATCAAAATATATATAACTCTTGATTAAAACTATATCGATACAATAAAAGAGGGAATCAAAGAGAAAAATGACAAACAAAAAACGAAGAATCACCAAAATAAGAAAAAATTACTGGCATTAGAGCAAAGAAAGAGTGACATACAAAAAACATAAGCAAATAAAAGACGAACTAATAATATGGCTGCTCCCGACTATGTCTTTTCAGTCAAGCCATACATAGACGAATTGGATATCTAATGAGATGCTACTGAAACTAACTTACAGTGTAATTTTTTACAAGTATGGTGGTTTCAAGTCCCAACTGATACTCCCTTTTGTAATCATAACTGCATCAGATTTGATACAAAAATTCATGAAATTAATGTTTCGACAACATTCCTCACCAAAAACGAAAAGTTCCATAACATAAGAATACAGGTTTTGTTTACCTAATATAGCAAAGCTTCTCCTTGATTTCCCTAACAGTCTCAAAATCAGCTGTCCTATTCATTGAATACCTTCACGAATAAAGTTACAATCCTCAGTCAAATGAAAGTTTCACTTAACAAATGAAAGATAATGCAAACCACAATGATCTTGCTAAGTATAAGCAAATGGTTCTCACCCCCTCCGTGAGAGCAAATCAACAAGATAGGATGTTATGTGTCGGCCAGCTACATTCATTCGCTTCGTAAGATGAGGAAATGAGTAGCCATCGACAACTGGAACCTAGAAGGTTGAGCAAATTAATTAAAAGTCGATATAGAGTTTGATTTCCCTTCAATTCCATTGCTGTGCAATATTTAACTAATCGCTAAAACATTTAACTACAGAGTGACACACCATGCAAGCTGTTGACAGTACTTTAAATACAAAACGTAGAAGTTGTTTTTGAGGAATTTACCACATGTGTAACACCATCACCAGAGTCAATAACTAATCCGGTTAGCAAGCCTGTAGAAAAACAAGGAAATAATGAAGCCCATGACCGAAAAAAAAAAAAAACAAAACTTTACCTAAGCATAAGTAGAAATGGTGGTTATAGTAATGTGATGACTGTTCCAACATATAATTCTGGCAAGTTATATTAAGTGCTTTCACTCTCCCCATCGATGTTTTCCAAGAATTTGAAAGTGCAATAGTCAAAAAGACTTTTTTTTTTTTGTAGAAATAAGACGAAGAAAACCAAAAAGGGAGAAACAAAAGAAGTTGGGGGTAAAAACAACATCATAAGCATTTAACCTTTAATCATCTCTATAAGCACCTTGAGCATACAACGTTAAAACAGCTTGAATTTGAATGAAGACACCAGCAAAATTGTACTTCTCAAACATGGTCTCAACCTGAAATATCGAATCAAGACGAATCATGAAATACCAACAACGCCATAATTAACGATATATACTATGGTACAGGTATGGTTACCAAAACAAATTACTACTTTAGAAAGAAGTTGCAAAAAAAAAAAAACCATTTTTTCACGGTTCTTTGAAGGATTAAGAGGCGGGTCTGTGAGTAATATCTGACACTCAGTAGGATCTATCTGTTGACAGAAAATACACAACATATTATTAACAATCCGAATGAAACTATAATATCGAAATTGACAATCAAAAGCAGCAAGAGTTTACCTTTAGTTCACTGTAGAATGCATGGTCCCAGACATGGCCCATATCATCCCAGTTTTGCACAATGCCATTGTTAACCGGGTAATTTATATCCAATTGATGCCGAAATTCGGCACAAGCTTCTCCAACAATGACATCCTAAACGCAGTTATAAAATTTAAGAAAAAAAGGGCTCTCGGAACTCAGAACTAATCACTAATCACTCAATCACATTAAGAACATAATAAAATTCTTAACCTTGATTAGAGCTCGAACAGAAAGATCAAAACTTGTAATGAAAAGATTATTAAAGTATCAACCTTGATTTCTTGTTCCATAAGTGATTCCTCATAGCGAAGCAGTGGCCTTCCAACTACGCAAGGGAACACAGAGGTGGGGAAGTTCTCTCCAGCAAATCCACATTTCACATACTGCAAATAAATCAAACAAAATAAACAAAACCCACAAAATAAAGTATGATCCCAACACCTACAGATCCCAAACGGAGGTCGAAATTTGCCGGATCGTTGAAATCTTTCAACACAGATTAGAATATAAGTGCTTTTTCTGTATGTGTGAGGGAAAGCAGAAAAGCTAGCGAGAGGAGTTTACCCCGGTGCCATTGTCGCACACGACGACGTTTCGACTGTTCATGTTCAGCTGCTGCTGTTGATAGTTTGTTGCTGTTTGTGCTGGTTTTTCGTCTACTGCATTTTCTTCAACCCGAAGTTCGTCCAACTGCAGGAAAGAGGGTGTGACGGGATTTCTGCGTGGTCGCGAAGTTAGAAAAAAGGAGCCAAACAAAAAGGAGGACGACGTCGTATCCATAATTTTTTGCAAGTGATACGGTTTATTTTTGGAACTAAACCAATCCTATTCTATTACTTGAGGGAGGTTTATTTTTCTTTTTTTTTTATTTAAAAAAAACGATAGCATTAGTGTGTAAAATTGTTAGTTGTTGCCACTTGGTATTACGGTTTAGTGATATTCATCTTCACTTGTAAGTGAGATCTTATGTTCGATATTCGCTAAAGTCGAATTTGAACCATATTATTGTTAACCTATTGTGAGACTAAGTGCACATTCTTCCCCTTAGTGTAGATAATATCGTTTGTTAAAAAAAAAATTGTTCATTGTTGGCATTGTTAAGTGTTGGCGGGAGAGGGTGATCGGTGAAGATCAAATTTGCACCAGAGTGCATATACATAGTTGTTTTGCGCAATTGCGGTAAAGCCTGCATGGAGGTCATTACTTAATAGATGTGTGGTTAAAAAATATTATATATTGACTTATTTATCCTTAATGAATGTTGTATTTCCTAAATAGGATTTTTTGGCTGCTAAGTATTTTATTTTATTACACATATGCACTCGCAAGTTCAAAGACTTGACATCAATTCTAAAACTAAAGTATTGTTCCTAACAACTTTAGAGAAAATTTTAGTTCATCTTAAACTTTTGTCGGTGATATTACATATTTTTGTACTCATTGAAAATTATTATTATACAGAGACGTGTTTTCTTAATATGAGACAAAAAACTTATAACTTATTGCAATGTGAAGTTTATTTCTATGCTATACATAATTGATCCCAAATTGGGACCGTAAATTTTTATGACTTGAGATTGCTCCTTTATAGAGATGATTGTGATATTTTACGTGATAATTTTAACACGATCATTTTTACTTCCCGCACAACTTTTTAGTTTTTTAAATATTTGTTTGCTCTCCATCGCCAGTCCTAGAGGCTAGGGTTAGTAAGGTTAAGTTAAATTATGGGCCTCGGGTCCCATTCTTAGGGCGATATGCCAAAATATTTTATATTGGGTCTGGTTATGCTTTACGATGCCCACAGGGCATCGCTTTAACTCAGCTGAAGGCCCAGCCCGTACAGTCACTGTTTGTTAATGTATAAATCTTGAGCCTTTCTTCTAGGGTTTACGCCGTTCAAAAGAGTTTCAGGGCTACCAAGCAGGTCGAAGCAGCAGCCTCCGAAAATGGTGAGGATTTGCTCCCTCTCCGTCATCCTCCGCCTCCCATTCCATCTCGGTCGCGTAGAATCGTCAATTAATCATCACGCCTTTATGTTCTACTGACATATTCATATTTTCTCGACCTTAATTACGCAGGCCCCCAAAAGAGGCGTAAAAGCTCCAGTTGCAGCTTCCAAGAAGAAGACGGTATGTATCTTCTGTTTATATATATATATATGTGCGAATATATGTTTATATTATATATGATGATTTTGCGATTTGGTTCTATGGTGATTGTGATGGGTGGCGCTGTGTGGTGATTTTTATAGGACAAGGTTGTGAACCCGCTGTTTGAGAAGCGCCCGAAGCAGTTCGGTATCGGTGGGGCATTGCCACCGAAGAGGGATCTGACCCGGTTCGTGAAATGGCCCAAGGTGGTTCAGATTCAGAGGAAGAAGAGGATCCTCAAGCAGAGGTTGAAGGTTCCTCCAGCTTTGAACCAGTTCACCAAGACCCTCGATAAGAACCTCGGTATTTTTTCGATAACTCTCGACCTTTTGCTTGCGTTTATTAAGCATTTTATCTATTTATGTTTTTGGAGTATATCATTGAGAATGTGCCAATGACAAGTTTCTGAAATTTATCTTCCTATAGTACGGATGTGGCAACTCGTTGCTGCGTTCCCAAATTGTTTTGTTATTGTATTGTGATGGCCTTCGTTGTTTCTGCCGTATTTTTATTGGAGTGCTCAAATTATAATGTTGTCTATTGTACCTGTGTGCAGCCACCAGCCTGTTCAAGATGCTTCTCAAGTACAGGCCAGAGGACAAAGCTGCAAAGAAGGAGCGCCTTTTGAAAAGGGCCCAGGCCGAGACCGAAGGGAAAACTGTTGAGGCCAAGAAGCCTATTGTTGTGAAGTATGGTCTCAACCACGTGACTTACCTGATTGAGCAGGTCTTGTTCTCTGCCATGTGCATTTTTTTTATGTTCCTTGTTACGGCGTTTGTATTTTGTGTAACATGTTTATGCAACTGTGTTTTACTTGCAGAACAAGGCCCAGCTTGTTGTTATTGCGCACGATGTTGACCCAATAGAGTTGGTTGTCTGGCTTCCTGCATTATGTAGGAAGATGGAAGTCCCATATTGCATTGTGAAGGGCAAAGCACGCTTGGGATCGGTAATATATTCTTATATTTCTGTATTATTTGATTGTTTTAAACCGTATGTCTATATATATGGACTAAGAACAAACCTTTATTTCAGATTGTCCACAAGAAAACTGCATCAGTTTTGTGCTTGACAACAGTCAAGAACGAGGATAAGTTGGAGTTCAGCAAGGTCTTGGAGGCAATCAAGGTGGGATATAATTATAATTAAACTCCTTGTGAAATTTCTTTAAGCTGTTGTTTGATTGCTCTATAGTGCTTGCGTTGTCCATGATTTGATCGATCGCTTTGTTTAATCGTTGTGGTGTCTCACTTTGTTGCAGGCCAACTTCAATGACAAGTACGAAGAGTACAGGAAAAAGTGGGGAGGGGGCATCATGGGTTCCAAATCCCAGGCAAAAACTAGGGCGAAGGAGAAGCTCCTTGCGAAGGAAGCTGCTCAAAGGCTGAACTAAGTCTGGTTGTTTTTGTATTTCTTCTTACCTAGGAAAAATTGTCAAGTCTGCTTCTAGATTTGTGAGTGTTCAAAGTTTATTTCGATCAATCGCTGAGGTTTTCCGTTTCTTTTAAATGCCGCAATGTTGTTTAGCTGTTTTGATTAGACTGAATGGACATGCCGATTTTGGTACGGCTTTTGGAATATCTATTGATGACCATTTATATTATGTTGTATGATTTCAGTTTCTTCACCACAAACCTTGTGCTGTATGCTTACTTCGTAACGCTATAGAATTATATTTTTGTATTCTGAGAAGAAAACGCGTGTTTTGGAACAGCTAAAAGTGTTCTTTGATGTTTAGAATTGGGTTTAGCTAAAAGTTCTTTTTGTGAATAGAAGCACTTTTGATCATGTGAGAAATTTGCTTTTCGATGATATTAGTGCTTCTTGGAGAGGAGTTTCAATAAGTTTTGATTTTCAAGAAAAATTATAAGTGCTTTTTACATGTGATCTTTCAAAGGAGATGATTTTGAAATGTCTGACATTTTGAATGGCGACGGAAATTAGTGAATATTGAAAGAAAAACTAATGAAAAATACTTAAAAATTGATTTTTAGTCTAAAAATATGAAGGAAATTCTAATTAGTGAATATTGAAAGAAAAACTAATGAGAAATGTTTGAAAATTGATTTTTTTAGTTTAAAAATATGATTTTTCGATAAAATGAACAGTTACAGAACTTTTCGTTAAAGATCCTTAAAGGATAAGTACCACAACTTAAAAGTCATAATAATGAGTTTATTGATGTTGCCGTAGTAACCGAAAAAAAATGTTTGCCCAACAAGATAAAAAAATTGCATTTGAGAAAGATTTACAAAAATTATTTTCCAAAACTAATAATTTGTTAAATTGTAAAAAGTTTTTAACTGAAAAAACAAATTTCAGTCCCCCGATATATGCATATATAGATTTTTGCAAGATCTCCACAAAATTTACACTTCGCTTTGGCTGTTCTGATCATACCAACCCAAACCCTCACCCTCTCTCCTTCTCTCCCTCTGCGACATCTCTCCCGCTCTCTCTCCCATTTGGCAACCCTGCAATTCCCCAAACCCTAGAAATCTGTCTCTCTGTCTTCCTCCCATTTCACCCACCTGCAACTGCAAGTGTTCGCTTGCAGAGGCTAATTCCGCTTTGGCGCTTTCCCCTCTCTCTTGCCGCATCTCGAAGCACGATTAGCTGCGCTCTCGTCTCCGTCATTCGCCTGCCAATTTTCTGCAATTCGAATCGTTTTGGTCTCCGATGGCGCACGGAAAAGTCAGTCTCCCTCAAGATCTCCTCCCCTCGAATCTGGTCGATTCACACTTCTCCGCCAAAGGTTTGCGTTCTTCTGCGTTTTTCAATCCGTATCTCTTCTCGCTGCATCGATTTTCTCTGTTGCTCCCGCATCATTTTCTTCCTTGCTCGATTTAAATCGCATTCAAATCTACACCTATATATATATATATATCTGTATTCTTTAGAATGTTGTGTGATGAAAGCTTTTGGATGTTCTTGATATCGTTATGGCTTTGCTTTTCGATGTTAATTTTGGGAACGAAATGTGGGATAATTTTGTTGCCACGGTGCTCATGTCATCTTCCTTTCTGTTCTGTCCTTCATTTTAGTGCTGGTACAGTGCAAGAGTCTTTCCGTCTGTCTTCTATTAGCAGTTCATTGGAGTATTTGAACACTGTTTTTTCCACCTATTTTATTTTTACTTTCGATAGTGAACCTCTTGGATTTGTAAATCATGGACAATCTGATTTCGAAGAATGCATGTAAATATCTATCTTTTTCTGTTTGCCATCTTAGATGATGAAGCCTTCCAAGGAAACATTGAGGAGAAGGCGCTAACGGGGTCCCTTGACATGTCAATTGGTGGTTGTGCTTCCTTTCTTATTATCCATTGTTTTTCCCATGTTCAATTTTGTTCACCTCATTGGCTATCATTTTACTGTATTTTTCTTTATGATTAAAGTGTGAGCCTGCCAGTTAATTAGTTTAACATGGTCCTAATTGCAGATCAAGTTGCCTCAGACAGCAG